CCCTGGCCTGTCGACAAGTGACAACAGGCCTTTGCTTGGGATCTTTACGAGAAAGCTTCGAGGGTTCAAATCGGCCAACCATGACTCAAACAGAATTCCCCGGAAGCTGACGATACAAGGTCCGAGGTTGGGGAGCCATGAACGAAGTTGGCCAGTGGCTGCAGCGGCAGCGACAGGCCCTCTTCACGGTGTGCAAAGGTGCAAGTAGGAATGCGCGGAGCACAGGGCAAGCCTGTATCCAACATGTCGAGGCTACAGAGAGCTCTGATCTGAGAGGCAGTCAGGATGTTTGACAACAACCCGATTTGCGCAGCAGTAACGAGTGAGGGCTTTCATGTGGAGGCATTTTCAAAGCCAGCAATGCCATTGCAGGCGACGGATGGTGATCTTCCAGAGTCAGGCGAGGATGCGCTTGCCAAGAAGCTGGCCAAGTGGTGGAAGGCTCGAAACCTTTCGCCAAAGTCCAAATCCTACACGGGCTGGGTTGAGTTCTAAAATGCGATCTGGTCTTCGTTGCCTTTGCAACGCACGGGAAGGGTTGAGATCTGGACAAGGCCCTTTGGCTGGCCTCTTGGGTTTTGAGATGGTTTGCGGTACTGAGGAGCGTGACTTCATTCCCCTCTCTGCCACCTGAAGCTCCGGCCCACATGTACCGTAGTCTGCCTAAGGCTGTCTTGCCTTGAGCCCTGAGCACCATGCTCACTCAACATCTCTTCCTCTTTTAGATGCAGACTGGCCTGAAACCAGGATCGACGCCGGCTTTAAGAAAAATCACTTCAGGCTGCTCCGAAGAAGTTTGGCCGTTCTGGCTGCCGCAAGGCACGGGCTGAGGAGGAGCGCTTAAAGCAGGGCTCACATTGGACTCCAGGCCGACGTAGGCCCCGAGGATCTTGCTTAACTCGAAGCATCCGGCAACCATAGCCCGACGGAGAGTTAGGACTTGGTACTGTCCCCAAGCACGGCTGTGGTTTAGCGAATCAATTCCTACATGCTCAAACCATTCCTTTGTTCGGGTCATCTGGCATGGGAGCAACATGTGTGATCAGAGCAGTACAAAAATTATCTTCGAGGTTCTTCGCGAAGCCATTCCTGTAGGATGCCTCGGAGGATCGGAGCACCTGGCTGCAGGGACCTCGTGCATTGACGCCCGGCTGCCCGCTGGTGATGGGCCCATGAGGCCGCATGACGCAACTTCTGCATCGAGATCTAGTGTGAGAGGCATAGGGGTTTGAGCTGACGCGGTGCAGGGTTGCCCTGGGCCGCTGTGGTCGATTTTCAACGGACTTGTTAATTCTTCTGCAGGGCAAGCTTTGATACGGTGGATCACGCTGCAAGTTGAAACGTCTAGTAACTAGTAGCTACGACCCCGTGACACAGGAGGTATGTGTACCAGTGTTTTAAGCGGTTGTTTCTTGCAGAATTTATGGTGAAGCTGAACATGCACCGTCCCAAGGCAAATGGCTTCGCCAATCTGTAAATATCTGTAAATGTAGAGCTGGCTTCGGTGATCTGAGTGATCTGATTGAATCGTAGCTAGCTGCCTGAGACTTATGTGCCTGGTGGCGGCAGATTGATGGTACAGCCGATCAGTTTGCGCACAGGCGATGCAGCAACGACTGCTCAGAAAAACATTCCAAACTCGACACCCTCAGTCCCCCAGTGTGTCGGGACAGTGTACAGTCTGTCCGTTGCCCCGAGAAACAGGAAGACCTGGAGTGCTTTCGCAGGTTGGGAAGTTGAAGAGACGAAAACCACACTAGCCTTGTACCAGATGAATGGAGAAACAGCCCACAGGTTGTGGTTGCAGCGGTTGCAGGGCTTGTTGGGATGCATGGTGGGCATTTGTCTGTGTGTGTGTGCTGGAAACGTATCGCTGAGTTCAGATTAGCGTGAGTCCACAATTCTATTGCAAACGAAGACTGCTGTGGATACTTTAGGCTGTGCACCTGCCAGAAATATTGTTTGTTTGTCTCAGAGTGCATCATCGCTTGTGTTCTTTGATCCTACATTACTACATGATGCTTTTGTGGTGTTGAATCCTGATGCGATTTCTGCAGCTGCTGCCCGAGCTTGTGCACTTCGTTGCCTGCTTCAGGATCTGGCGAGCGCTATAGATTACTGAGGCTGAGCGGGTGGCGACGAAAGACTTGTTATAGTTAACGGGAACACCCTATTTTAATCCAGCGGTTCAGGGGCCCGGAGTCAGACAAGGCTCGCAGGCAATAGCGAGTACCACAAGCCCTCCAAATCCATTGGTACCACGAGCACCTTCGCTCACGAGCTTCTTAGCACCTTGGGCTCCGCTTCTCTTGGCTCTCAGCTTCTGTGGAGGGTAGAGGAGTTTGAGACCACGTATGCTCGCAGGTGCATGACTTGGTGTTCTAGAGTGGCATAACCGGGCAAGGGAGCGTCCTGGGAGCTGGAGATCTCTTTTCGCAAGGAGTCCCATAGACCCGAGATGATAAAGCCCCTCCCGCCCTTGGCGCTCAGACTTTAAGAAATTTCACAGACGCTGCTCTCGAACTGCTAACAGAGCCCCTGGCCCAGGTGCTGCTTTTTCGGCTTTGGCCGGCCCATGGCGAACGGGCCGGTGCTTCAGCCGTCCAGAAGGTGTTGCAGTTCGGATCTGTGGTGGCGATGGGAGAGGTAGAGTTTTGGAGTATGCATGGATGCCTTAAGCCTGAAGCGCCGGTGTCCTTTCGCACGAAGTGAGGGTCCAGTTTGCAACCTCTGCCGAGGGCAGTCAATGGCAAGCACCACCAGAAGGCCGGCCAGCCTCCTGGCAGGAAGCCGCTGAGATCCCCTTAGAAAATTGCTCGAACTCGAGCCATGAGACGAAAGAGACTGCATTGAGCCCAACTCCCCGACGTGGCAGGTGACATGGGACATGGCAACTGCCACCCCGAACGTCCTGCCCGTCGCGGATGGAAGGTCACCGACCGGGAAATCCGTGCGTTCCCCTTTCTCTTGGACTCTTGTTTTTCCAGCGGGCCAGGTTTGGGGTTTGGAGTGGGCTAGTTCTCCGCTCGCAAGAAGCCTGGTAGGTCTGGTAGGTTTTGCGACTCAAGCGGCGAGTCTTCGAAGATTGCTGTCGAGGGTGTAGGGAAAGGGCAAGGGCGGGATTGGCGAATGGCTAGTGAGGCTGGTGGCTGCACAGTTCTGTGTTGTTGAATGCGAGCCTTCTCTGCGTTTGCACAGGCTGCTCATGGCTTTGTGCGATGGTGGCTTGCAGTACGTGTTTGGAGGCTCGAACCTCCGGCGATTTCGGGCCATCAAAGGATGAGTCGACACTCACTCCGGGCGTACGTTGGCTGTTTTTGACATCTTAGAGTTCAGTCTTTGCAGTCTCGTCAAGTTACGAATTCGAAAAGCGAGGAGGTGGTGGGCATGCTATGCCACGGTTTAGGGTTTAGGGTTCCCAGTGGTGGCGGATGCAAAAACACAAAGAATGTCATCCCACAGTCGTTTCCACTGAAGAGTGGATGCAGCCTCATTAGCACCAAGGTCCCGACAGGGAGACATTACCAGAATCCTCACTCCTGCGGGGCTCTCCTGTGCCGAAAAAAGTAGCTTGAACCCCTTGCGGTAATTTCCATTCCATGAACTTGAAGGCAAGAGTCGCCTTCTTGTCTTGCATCTTCTGCGAGCACAGCTGTTGGAGCTCCAAAGCCTCAGATTGCCAGTTGCGCAGGCGTTAGAGCCACAGTCGGCGCGAAGGCCTGGAAAGACAGACTTGTCTATGGGTCCAAGCTATGGGATAGTCTGCCAGTGGGCGAAGATCTCGCTTTACGCGTGGTGCAGGGCGGATGTTCCATGTTCGAGATCACGATCGTGGAGCTGCTGGAGCCTATAGAAGGCCTCGGAGGAGTCACAGAATCTGTGCTTCACTGTCAGGTTCCCCCTTTCAGGGACAGCTAGGGGCCCCGGGTTTGTGTGCCGTGCATCCGCCATCCGACCGAAAGGCGAGCCGCGCCCGCGTGCGGCGCCGGCCTCGCAGGGTGCTCGGTGCTGCAAACCGTATATTTGGATCTCGCGCATCGGAAGGAGAAAAGCAGGCATAGGGTGCTCTCCCGAGTTTTGGACCCGTAGGGCCAGCTGCGAAACCTGAGAGCTGACTTGGTGATTCACAGTTGGGCAAGGTTTTTTCCGAATCGCAGGTCGCTGTAAGACGTAAGAAGACGATGAATAGTTCCGAGATCTGGAGAACGACGCGACGACACGGATCAGCTTGTCTGAACCGCAAGACTGAAACACAGATTGAGATTATCAGACAACGGTTGTTTACCACAGAGTCTCCAGACAACGTCTGATCCCGCCAGTCCATGCGGCCAGCTGCAACGGGATATGGTGGCGGCCACTTTAAGAGACATCTGTTATTTGCGCACTTGTGCCGAACACAGATTCTGTTCGATCTCAGTGGTGTGACTGCATGCCGTGTCACACTTTGATTGTGACCATCGAGGAGGTTTTTTGAGGTCAGGCTTGTCATTTCCTTCGTGAGCCTTTGCCCGGTTGTCCGACGTGGAGCCGGTAGGCATTCCGGCAAATCCCAATTGTCACTCCATGTTGCGGACTATCTTAGGGTGAGCTCGGAAAGCCTCGGTCAAAAGCATATTCCTGAAAACCGCCTTACACCTGCAAGTAAACTCCTGCAACTGTCAAGGCGGCAGCTTCTGCGAGTTGGCTTCTCGACGCTAGAAGCCGCTTGAATCAGAACTTAGTTCGCGATTTTCATTGTACGATGGTTTCCGCTTGGTGCAAAAACTCCCGGTGAGAGTCTTTTGTTTGGGGGCATCAGTGTCTGCATGCACTATCGATCCCTATCGCACTGCTCAGCTTGTCCTGCAGCTTGTCCTGCGTTGCAGAGCCAGCGATTCGCTGAGCTGCACCTCGTTCATTCAGAAGACAGCCGTGACGCGTTCAGCCTGCGTGGTTTTCTCGTGGGCTTTGACTGCCGGTTGCCCGAATCCTCTAAGCACGAATCTGAGGCGGGGGTGCTGATGGACAACGCGGCCGAGGGCCAGGCAACTTCCTGGTTAGGAGGTAGTGCGCTTGATAGCAGTTTAGGGTGTCGAAGAGCCCTGTCGTCTCGATAGGAGGAGCAGGCGGCATAGGCGGTTAGCTCGGTCGCGGGTTCTCCGAGTCGAAGTATGCCGAAGGCAGGCTTATCGTCATCATCAAAATCATCATGATCACCATCATCATCATTATCTTCATGGTCATAGGTCTCTAGTAGTAACAGGTTCCAGGATTCAAGTCTCCGAAAGCTCAGGGGCCGAAAAGCCTGGACAGGTGTTCGTTGACAGCCTCGGCCAGCTTTCGCTGCCCGGGTCGAAAACTCGAGCCGGGGCCCATGTAGCGTGTGCTTGATTGAGTAGCATCGTCAGCATTTAGTGACATTTAGGGTTCAGGCTTTGCTGGGGTGTCTTCGCGAATCAACATTCTTAGTACCATGCTAGCTGGTATCGTAAAGATGCGTAGTGCAATCATCCGCTGTTACTTCATCATCCGTAGCGTTAGCGTCGACGACTGTTTTGAAACGCTAATTTTTTGTGATTGTTGTTCTTGTTCTTCTGCTTCTTATTCCTGCAGCTGCTGTGGCTGGTGTTGTCATTGTTGTTGACTGTTGACCGCACAACAACCGTTGCTACTGTTGCTGCTGCTGTTGCTGCTACTGCGATACTTACTCCTATCGCTGCGACGACGATGACGACGACGGCGACTACTATTTCTACTACTACGACTGCTACTACTACTACTACTACTACTACTACTACTACTGCTACTGCTACTGCTACTGCTACTACTACTACTACTACTACTACTACTACTACTACTACTACTACTACTACTACTGACTACTACTACTACTACTACTACTACTACTACTACTACTACTCCTACTCCTACTCCTACTCCTCCTCCTCCTCCTCCTCCTCCTACTACTACTACTACTACCACTACGACGGCTGTGGCCCACGACTACTACGACTACGACCAATATTCTTCTCCTCCTCCTCCTCCTCCTACTACTACTACTACTACTACAACGACGACTACTACTACTGCTGCTAGTACTATTACTCGACTACTTCTACTGCTACTGCTGCTACTACTGCTGGTGACACTGCGACTACTACTACTACTACTACTACTACTACTACTACTACTCCTGCTGCCGGTACTACTACTACTACTACTACTACTACTGCTACTGCTACTGCTACTGCTACTGCTACTGCTACTGCTACTGCTACTGCTACTGCTACTGCTACTGCTACTGCTACTGCTACTGCTACTGCTACTGCCACTGCTACTGCTACTGCTACTGCTACTGCTACTGCTACTACTGTACTGCTGCTAGTGCTACTCCTCTTCCACTGCTTCTACTACCCCTACTACTTCTCCTGCCACTACTTCTACTCTACTTCTGCTTCTACTTCTACTTCCACTTCCATTTCTACTTCTACCATTATTTGTTATTTTTACTACTACTACTACTACTGCTACTACTCCTGCTACTACTACTACTACTACTACTACTACTACTACTACTACTACTACTACTACTACTACTACTACTACTGCCACGACTACGACCACGACCACGACTGCGGCTACAACAGCGAAAACGACGACTACGACGACTACTGCTACGACTACTACTATGACTACGACTACTACTACGACGTGCCCAACCACTCCTTTTGGGGTTTTGGATTTCGCACCCACCAACGCTTTATGGGGGTCTGAGGCTTTTGCATGAGAGAACACCTTTTATTTAAGGTTTTTGAAGACCATGCTCCTTTTGGGGTTTGGAGGCTTCATCACCCACTCCTTGTAAGGGTTTGGGGTTTGCACGAGCTTCTCCTATGTGGGTTTTCGCACCCGCACCCTCAGTTGATGTTTTGATGTTCGCACCCACCTACTATTTTTCTGGGTTTGGAATTTTGCACGCCGTTAAGGGTTTTGACCCACTCCTGTTGGGGGTCTGAATTTCGTACCTGCACCTGTTCGGGTCTTGGGTTTCCGGACGTAGCTACTCCCCTCAGGGTTTTGGGTTTTGGGCTTTTGTCCTCATCCACTCCTTTTGGGCGCACCCACCCACTTGGTTTGGCGTTTGGAAGCAGCTGCTCCATTTGGTGTTTCGGATTTTCATAAAACATGCTCCGTTTTAGGCTTTGGAGCTTCGGCAGCAACCCACTCTTTTTAGGGCTTTGCCTTTCTGCACCCACACACTCCTTTACCGAATCGGGTATTGGGTCCAGTTACTCCCCGGTTTTGGGTTTCCCGCTTGCTTACTTGTTTTAGGGTTTGGGTTCTGCGCAAGATATTTTCGCGTGAACAAAGCACTCTTTTTTGGGTTTGGGTTTTCGCACCCATCCACTGTTTTAAGTGTTTCTCTTGATCTGAACCTTTCGGTTCCTGCCGTGTTGCCTTGCATGTATGTGCCACTCGAAGGGCCCGGCACGGAGCCCCAGAGGCTTCGGCAGCAAAACACGCGGTGACGGCAAACTTCGTCCTGTTTCTTGAACCTGTCCTCGAGGGCCGAGTCACCTGAAGCTCTAAACATGACTGCTTCTCTCCCCACCGGCTCCCTCGTAGCTCTCTGGACTCAGGTGTTCCAGCGATTACATAGAGACGAGGCATGGAACTTGCCTTGTCGTGGCCTTCCTGCTTGCTTTCGGATGGTGTTCGTCTTGCAGGACCGTCGATAGAAATTCACTCATAGATCCGATGGAAAACAAGGAAACTGTCCCCAGGAAGTTTAATCTGCCTCAAGTTTGTGTTTGAGTTTGCTCTCCCTGACGTTCGGTCCAGCTGTTTCAGCTTCGGGCGTTCCACTCCGTTGCTCCGTCCTGGTCAACGCGGTCGTCGGGCTGTTGACACCTTGCAAGTGTCAAGCCATCGAATCTGCTCAACAACTCTGTAAAGGTTGTTGGCTTGATGCTGAACCTAGACCAGGACAGTCCTGAGGCCAGACATGTTCATTGTTGCCTGCTTCGGGTGCTGGGGTTGGACATTCAGCAGGTTTTTGATCTGCATTGGGTTGACGCCTGTTAGGGTTAGTTGAGGGCCTGCGTCTCGAAGTTTGTTTGTTTCGGATTGCGGCTGCTGCAAAGGCATGCGCGCAGACAACTGACCGGTCTTCATGATGTGCTGAGTATGATGGGAGGTTTGGATTTGTCTCTGGCGTGCTGCTGAACCTGACTAGACATTTCTTTCGATTCGATATCCTTCATGTCTTAAACTAAGTATTCTATAAAGTTGACTATCTTCCCATTTGAGAGTTCTTGTCCAGCGTTCAACACGCATCGGCAAAGGCCAACACTCTCAGCATTTTCCGCGATGGCGTGCGTCGGGGACTCGTGGAGCTGCCTGGTGCGTGCCAGGTGTGGCCATCGAGGGCCGTGTTTCTCTAGTCAGAAGTCCCGCACAAGAAACAGACAGCTTCGCTGAGCATAGCTGGGCAGTGGGGGTTCGGGGACGTTCGGAGTTCATCCGCAGCCCTGAAGCCTGTGGACATCCAGGCAATCTTTGCGGCCAGCACGAAACAGCACAAGGAAGGAGCCGGAAGTGCGGAAACAACTCCCTTTCGATAACGATAACCATTTTTTGAGGTGCTTGCCCGCCGCAGAAGCTGCCTGAGGGTCTGACCACGAAGGCATTGCCACGGGAACTCTTGGTGGTTTTTGCCCGGCTTGCCAAGACAGGGTGTAGGTAAGTCGGAGTTAGTGACAACCCACGCACATGTCAGCCAGTCGACCGATCAGCTATTCAATGCCGAACCTCCCATCTCTTCTTGCCAAGCCCAAGTCTTCTGTGCTTCTTCGCGCTGGGTGGAGTGGTTTCCTAAGCCCTTGCCAAACCGTCAAATTCTGGATCCTATCCCACAGAATCTGAACCGCATAGCTTTGACATTCAACAGACGCTGTTCCCGACCGTGACGTTCAAGAACATGACTCTCCTCGTCAACTTCGGCTGCTGACTCAGCCTCATCGTGAAATCTTCCATATGGCTTCCTCGATGAGTTCGACGGCTGAAACGGAGGGGAGCACTGACCTGGCGAACTTGCTTGAACGTCGTAGCCCTGAAGTGTATGCTAGCGGCTGATCAGGAAAGGGCTATCGAAAAGCATCTCTTGAGTTGGGGCCGTCAGTTTGTGCTCCGTCTCTCTGGCCTGCAGTTTGCGAAGCTTGTTCAGGGGCATGCCGAGTTTGCTCGTTCTCGACTTGAGCCGTGGCGTCGTAGGCCCTTCGCCAAGCGTTCCAGTGTCTGCAACCGAGGCCCAACACCGCAATGCAAAGTCGATGCCACCTGCACCATGCTGCAGGAACCATGCTGATCTGTGCATGCCTGGGCCAGGGTGAGATGCTTCAAGGGCCGAGAACAAACCTCTTAGACCGGATCATGGGTTAGGAGTCATTTTTGGTTCAGGAAGCCAGGTGCGACCAGTTCACGGGTCATACGCTTGGGCTCAAAGAAAAGTCAGCAGGAACTCCTTTCACAGAGCCTCGAAAGTCGAAGCATCGCCTGTCGCCTGGAGGATGTTGGGGAGGAGGACATGGAAGTCATTGAGTCGGAGGATTTTGCCGCCAGGAAGCCCGAGGCTGCGGCAGCGGATCCGAAAGCCAGACAGTCCTGGACCAACGCCCCGACACATGGATGTGCCTCAGTTCGCCGGGGGCTCGCCCTCTATGCCCCAAAGGAAGACATAGACTTCAGGGGTGACTGCAAGAAAGAACGTCAGCAATCCAGCACGGGCGCAAAGCCGAAGCGCAAGAGCGCCGCACCCGAAACTTGGAGGTGCTTTTTCCTTTGGGCTTGCCGGATCACGGCCTTTTTGACTGGGTGGATCAGTTCCTCCAGGAGAATCCGAGGCTGGGATCGACAGGGTTCTATTTAAAAAGGGTTCCGGTTCGCGACCGGCATGTGACGATAAGGATCCTCTAAGTAAATTCTTTCTTAGCCCCCGCCGTCTTGGCTCGGAGTTCATCACAGGGGAGTATTCTCGGAGACCCCCTCCAGTTTGTGAGGCTTCGGTGTCTATTGTGTGCAGCATAATTGCTTCGTAGCAGCGCGGTCCCCGCACAATCTTCATGTGATCATTGTTGCGACCACGTGTTCGCGCAGGATAGCAGAGCTCAGTGAGCGAAAAGCGATTGCATGGGCTGGATCCCAAGCACTGGGTTGGGACCACTTCGAACCGAGGGGTGGGAATTTCAAGTAGAGTTGGCGCAGTGAGCTGGAGGAGTGCCGGAGTCGATAGCTGCTCTTTCAGGACTTGATTCTCCATATCCCAACCTCTGGGTCGCGGCCGAGGCTGAGAAGAGTGGTATTCCACAGGGCCCTCGACGTGACAAGTCTCAAGACAGGCCTTCGTTCGTCGACGGGTTCCACAACACAAGCACACCTTAGGGGCTCATTAGCGTGTGGACTGCCTCAAAAAGGATTGCGCTCAAACACACTATGGCAGAGCAGAAGTGCAGGTTGAAAGGTACGAGACTGCTGCGGGACCAGCTTCATCACTGTCAGCGCAAAGATTCGAAGTTGCAGCATTCCGAAACCCCAAGCCGTAAGCCTGAAAACCAGCAACAAACAAGTCCCCAGGCTTGGGGAACACGTGTTGGATGTTGTTGCTTTAGGAACCTTAAGGTTTTGTCGTTGCTATGGCCCGGAGCAGGCAAGCGAGTGAGCAATGAACACCCATCACCGCCCCGACAGCAAAAAAAACATGCACCCCCGCTTCGACAGCCAGAAGAAGCATGCACCACGATCACTGCAGGAAACGACACATGCATCCCCGCCGCGCTAGGAAAACGAGCTCCGACAACTCGGGAAAAAAGACAAAATCTTACTGCCAGGCCGGGTACGAACTTCGGCATCGGGGCCCTGGACGATGGCAGCACCCACAAGGCTCTAGCAGGGCTTGGTCTGCAGCTTCCGAAGCTTTTCGCCCGTGTACTACTGGTGTGAGCACGGCATAATGAGTACCGCGGAGCCAACAGCAATAGCAACAGCAACAGCAGCAACAACAGCCTCCGGCAACAGCACCAGCACCAGCACCAGCACCAGCAGCAGCAGCAGCACCACCACCACCACCACCACCACCACCACCACCACGACTACTCTACTACTACTACTACTACTACTACTACTACTACTAGTGCTAGCTACCACTACTACTACTACTGCTGCTGCTGCTACTACTACTACTACAACTACTACAACTACTACTACTGCTGCTACTACTACTACTACTACTACTATTGCTGCTACTGCTACTGCTAGTGCTACTGCTACTGCACTGCTACTGCTACTGCTGCTACTACTACTACCACCACTACTACTACGACTACTACTACTACTACTACTACTACTACTACTACTACTACTACTACTACTGCGTGTCTTCGTTGCTTGCCTAGCTCTAGGCCGAGCTTGGTGCGTATGGGTTTTTCTGCTGAACTTGCCCAATAGCTGGCCATTCATGAACAATCATAATCATTTTTATTAAACCCTGATGCCCGCCAAGGTGCGGACTACCCGCACGAGCGTCTGAATGAAATGAAAGTGCCACTTCCACTGCCACCACTGTCACCACAGCCACCACCACCCCCACTACGGTAGTACTTCAACGCTGCCACCACTGCTGCTGCTATTTCTACTGCTATCATGTTCATGATTGCTGCCATCACTGTTCTTACGTTCGTGGAAACTTGGACACAGACATGGGCTCCAGCAAGCACAGAAAATGAGAAGATCCGTGGTGATCCAGGTGCTCTCGTTGGCAGCCCCTGCGCTGAGGCCTTGTCAATCAGATTGAAGAATGCTTTGGACATTTGGTTTTGTGGAGCCTCGGATCGGGTTTAGTCCAGTTCGAAAGGTGCTTGTTATGGAGAAGGGGAGAAGGGGCCTCGGGGCCGACAGCGTATTGCCTTCCAGCCTCACATGAAGGCGAGACCTCCTCGTTTTGGAGCTCAATAACAACCTCCGCGCCAGTGAGCGCAAGAAGGCCCTCGCGAGGCCCGATTGTCCAGGAGCTGGCTCGAGAGAAATGAAACTCCTTCGTCCTCCCGTTGCAATTGTTGTTGTTGTTGCTGCTGCTGGTGGTGTTGTTGTTGGTGGTGTTGTTGTTGTAGTATTGGTAATAGCAGCAGCAGTAGCAGCAGCAGCAGTAGCAGTAGCACTAGCACCGGCACTGTGGCACTGGCACTAGCACTAGCACTAGCACTGGCACCAGCACTAGCACTAGCAATGGCACCATCACCAGCACCAGCTCTAGCAGTAGCACTCGCAGAAACGCTAGCGGTAGCAGCGGCAGTCGCAGTCGCAGTGGCAGTAGCAGTTGCAATCGCGGTCACAGTAGCAGTAGCCGGAGCAGCAGCAGCAACAGCAACAGCAGCAGCAGCAGGAGCAGTAGCAGCAGCAGCAGCAGGAGCACGGGAGTAGCAGTATCCGTGGCAGTAGCAGTGGCAGGGACAATGGCGGTGGCACTGGCAGTGGCAGTTGCGGTAGCAGCAGCTGCAGCTGCAGGCGTAGCAGTACTAGCAAGTACTAGTTACCAGTGGTAGTGGCAGTGCTGGTAGTCGTAGTAGTAGAGTAGTAGTAGTAGTAGTAGTAGTAGTAGTAGTAGTAGTAGTAGTAGTAGTAGTAGTAGTAGTAGTAGTAGTAGTCGCAGTCGTAGACGTAGTCGTAGTCGTAGTCCTCGTCGTGGCAGGCGTAGTAATCGTAGTAGCAGCAGCACGAGGAGTAGAAGTAGAGCCAGTAGTAGTAGCAGCAGCAGTAGTAGTAGCAGCAGCAGTAGTAGTAGTAGTAGCAGCAGCAGCAGCAGCGGCAATAGCAGCAGCAGCAGCAGCAGTAGCAGCATCAGCAGCAGTAGCAGTAGCAGTAGCAGTAGCAGTCGCAGTCGCAGTGGCAGTAGCAGCAGCAGTAGCATAGCATTGGCAGTAGAAGTAGCATTGGCAGTAGAAGTAGCAGGAGGAGGCGGAGCAGGAGCAGGAACGACAATAGTGTCAGAGGTAAGAATGAGAGTACCGGCACCTTTTGTTTTTGATAATGAGGATGAGGATGAGATGGGGCTGACACTGGGTATCAGGATGGCAATGACGAAGGTGTTGACCATGTGGCTACTGATTCTGGTATGATGAGGTGATGATGAAGACCCCATTACCATTGCCATGATGTTAATGATGCAAACAAACCATCAGCAATGATGAGCATGCCAACACAAGCACCAAGCTGGGCTATCGGAGCATCGGAACGGCACAACGGTGGCACCAGTGGGGCGATTCCGTACATATAATGTCATAGTGCGGATTGTCAGCGCAGTCCAGTCCGTTTATTGAGTGGAAAACAGATGTAGCCCTCAATGGTGTTTGTGTGTGTTCTCTGCATGAACCTCTGAGCCATCATCTGACCAGTATGGTGTGTTGGTCGGGCTGCCCCGGTTTACGGTTTTGGGTGCGATTTGCTAAAGGCGTTTTGGGTCCAGCGGCTGTTGTGTCCTGTGCCAGCCCATGGCCAAACCTCAGCCTTGGTGCACCCAGAGTCCCGACACGCTTGAAGCCAAGTTAAGCCATGGAGTCAGCCCCTTCTGCAAACCAAATTCCGGCAATGGGTTTAGCCATACCCTAGGCAGACCAGCAATCCCAGCAGCTGTAATGTATTCCCTTCCTTCACCTCCAAGTCCCAAGCTAACTGCCGAAAGCTTCGAGATCGGAACCCTCAAAATAGTGAAGCGGTCTCGGCCTGTCAGGTTTTCGCCCTTCGACTTTAAGACACTCGGCTCAGATAGGGAGATCGCGGTTTGTTTGTTTGTCGTCTGGAGCACCTTCTGGACGTGCGGATCAAAAGACACGCCCTAAAGCCTGGGTTTGCCAAGAGAAATGTACCAACCTTAAGGCCTGAACCCTGACCTTCTTTGCATCGGTCGGGTGTCTATCTTTGTGCCGGATGCAGTTGAATTGATGCCAGTGGGATCTATGCTCGTTGGCGATGCTGCGCACACGCGTCGAAACAAAGGATACCCCACTAGGATTCGACCTGATTGCAAGCGAAGCCTGTGATATTGCGACATGTGAAGGTGAACACGCGGTAGAGCTCAGGAAGCCGTAGGTCCCTCGCCCGAGGCGTGTGGCGATTGTCGCGATGGGAGAGCCGACAGAGGAGTACAAGGTGGGAGGGCGTTGGACGCTTTCTTTGTCAACCTCGAGGCCCTCACGAAGACAAGCCTTCCTGGGTGTCAGGCCCGGATCCAGGAGCTCCTCCTGGCTGAGAAGGCTGCGCCAGTTCCGCTTCGCGGTTGGGTATGGTTGGGTTCGTGGCAGTGCCATGGTGCTGTTACCTTCAAGAACTCACGCTACGCCGTTATTGGAATGACGAGCCGCAAGATTTCCCCCGCATGCGGCTTGGCGACCCGCAGGTTGAAGCCCGGAGAAGAGAGAAGAGGCGGAAAACTGAGGAGGCCAAGTTAGTGGGTTTTAGGGTGCCCAAAAAGTCTATAGCCAAGTTTATAGTATGCACCCCAGCAAACCCCAGTCGAATCACTCGGGCCTCATGGTAGTAAAGCTGGGAAGGCTCGAAACGATTATAGATCCATGTCTGAACACCTTTGTCCTTCTCCTGTTCAACTTACTCACAGCGTGCTGTCAGCCTAATGACAGTGACAATCTGAATGACGTAAGCCCCGACACAGTCGTGAGTAGATTGAGTCAGGGTACTGCAGCGGCGTAGATAGGCTAAGTGTCGTCTGTTTCCTGTGTCAGGCCGCTCCCAAGCGTGCGCGACGTGGCGGCTGGGATTCTCAGACTCAGGACCCGCCCTGCCATGTTCACCGGCGCTCTCGGGGTCGTGTCGCTTGTAGGTTTCCTGTCGAGGTTATTGCTTCAGGTCAGGGCTGGCTTTTTTACTGACATTAGCAGTTTTCCAAAGCTGGAATAGGGACTTTGAGGGGTTAGGGCGGTTAGGGCTTGTATGTTCAGGACTCGAAGCGAAGCCAATTCTGTAAAGTCGAGGCTTAGGGTTGTGTCTCTGGATTCCGTGTCCCACTCAAAGCTTCGTGCTTGTTCGCATGATCAAGCTCCAATGCTTTGCCACCAAAGTCCGAAGTCAAGAAGATGCGGAGGAGCCGGAGAACGGCACGGAGAAACCTGCTAGTGGAGAAGGCGTGGGGCTGAGAGTTGTGGATGTTGGTGCAGGTTTCGGTTCTGGGCCTGGAAGGGTTCGGGTCAGTTTGGGCCTGCAAATTCAGGCCGAAACTTTGGAGCGGTTTGAGTCTATGTCCCTTGAGCCACGTCCCAGAACACCCCATGCTTGACGCCGGTGCCTCCTGGCCAGTCGCCGCAGAGCCGGCGCCAGAGGAGTCCGAGGCCAAGGATGCCAAGGACGCCACCATGACTCCTCCCTGCCTCCCTGCACTCAAAACTTGATCATGCCGAGACTTTGCAGCTCTCAATTTGCCAGAGCTAGGGACAAGGGCACTAGAGTCGAGAGATTCGGCCGACCCTGTTGTGTCCCCCGTGAGAAGAAGTATCGAGTGGAGAAAGGATGCAGCCCCCCAGTATCACGGCTGCCGGCGGCAGCCGAGTAACCTTGGAACCGTGAACGCGTCTTGCTGTATCCAGCAATATCCAGCATCTCCCTCCGAACCTTCAAACGCACCAGCTCGAAGGAGGGGGAAGAGGCCACAGAGCCAAAGCCGGAGGAGGAAGAGGCGCGGCGCTCCTTTCCAGATTGGAACGAAAACGGGTGGCTGTGGCTGCGCGAAATTGCCTTGAGCCTCAAAGTGCAAAGGAGAAGATTGAGCTGACCGAGGAAGAGAAGGCAAAGTGGTCCGCTCCCCAGAATTCTGTTTAGACCTTGCTGCAAGACGGTGAAGATCAGGTATTCAGGCCCAGTTTTTGCGGCTTCAGCTCTGGGCTTGGGGCCTCCCGGGCCGGAAGGTTCAAGGTGTTTTTTCAGCACTTCAAGACGGATCGCTACTGCTCCTTTTACGACGATACCAAGAAGCCCATTCCTGTAGTCCAACTGACCCCGGTCATCTTATTTGAGCAGCTCGTCCCAAGTCGAGTTAGATGGCCTGAGATACGAGATGATCCTTAAACTTTACAGGTTTAAGCCGGTTGCAGGCCTTGTAGGTTTAAATTAACGGTATCGGGGTGTCTCGAGAGATCAGGGTTTAGGCTGTGTTCAGATGTTCTTGGTTGCCAGCCCAGGTTCCGCAGCTTGGAGCCTCCAGATCTGTCCTCAAGCACACTTGCACGGGGCCCAGCTGTGGAGGGAGCATACATCCAGGGAGGAGACTTTGCCCAACAAGCCTTGCGATTGGGATGCATCAGTTCATTGCTCCGGCATTTCGCCTGAAGCAAACCCTCAGAAACCAGAAGCCGTTGAACTTGAGTCTGAGAGTGCAGGCAAAGTGTTTTGCGGACTATAGCATCCCGGCCGACGACGAGGGCTTCGACGAAGTCCGGCATGGAGCCAAGTTGCACGATGCAGCAGTTGTTTTTGTTGGGCGTTGAGTGTAAATTCGCTCGGTTCACTGTGATGGAGTAAGCAGCTGGATCTCTGTTTTGGGTGAGTTTGTGGCAACGAGTTGGGACTCTCTATGGCTGAAACGGGGTCACGTCTGCCGTGCAAACACAATCAAATGCATGTACATATGCTTATACATGTACGATGATTGACAGCATGTTTTTGCGTGGGCGCTTGCGTATGTTGCGCCTCCCGCTGGACCTTGAGACCTTCCAGATTCCAAATGAAACAGGTATGTCTGGCAGCAGAAGGACGAGTGCCAGAAAATCATCAGCGATTGGGCGCCAGCCTAACTACAGGGATTGGGGTCAGGGCCAGGGTGAAGGATATTTTCTGCGTCATTTTGAGCAACTTCAAGTGCAGAAGCTCAGTGTGACATAGCCATCTCGGGTTCGGGAAGTTTCAAAAGAAGAGTGCGACGCCACAGGCCTCCCCGGTCCTTTGAACCCTGAAAGCAGGACCTAGGAGTCGGGCCTCGGGCGCGCACTGATCAGCTAAGCTCCAAGCCCAGCGAGGTCCTCGACCACAAGAAGACCATGCGCATCGAGGATCGGCGTGGAGTCCGCCGGTTTGTCGGGTACGGCAAGAGTGTGGCTCTGGCCCGATCTGCATCTCCGAGCGTTGGATGAAGCAACTATCAGGTCATGACGTGCAAGTGGAGCTTTTGGATTTTGGTTGTTTAGAATTGAACAGGACCTAAATCCATCGACCTGGTTCAGGGAGCGCATCGTCGGAGCCCCAGATCGGGAAGAGTCGGGGCGCTTCAACATTGCGTCGTGCAAGCTTCCAATCGCTGGCTTTTTCATGCGAAGGGTTTCTTCTCCCACATACCATTGAAGCTAAAGGCGTGCTACAAATCCTCGAAGCCATCATTAAGATCATCCAATCGGAACTCGGCACAAGCTACAGTTCGGAGCCCCATGCTCCGAACACTTCAGCGTCCAGCATTCAAGCAGGCAGCTCCTGAGAAGCAGGCTTTTGTCAATCCCGTTGTGGAACAAGGACCGATGGCAGCAGCAGTACCAGGAGTGGAAGCGGAAGCAGAGCGAGATCCGGGAGGCCGGGAACGGGGCGGTGGATAAGATCAGAAGCCGCGTATTTAGCGTCAAGCTGTTAGCTGGAACACCCGTAAACGAAGCTTGCTCTGCAGTGCCCACTCAGCAACAACCTCAAAAGTCTTGACTTGTACAAGAACCCAAGCGCATTGCCTTGGGTTGGAACCCACGTCCCAAGCTGCATGGCACAGTCCGGTAAATTGGAACATACAGTTCTTGCGTGTCTTGTCTTGTTTCAGTCCTTGTTTCTGCCCCCAAAAGGTCGAAAGGATCCAGCTTGAAAGCCCCGACTCCTTCAGCGCAAGCAGGCCGTTCGGAAAGGCGAGTTTCGAAAGAGGCCCCGCAAGGAGGCCCGACCACTGATCATGCGATGAGCTGCTAGTTTCGGTGATGTGACGGAGTCTTTCACCATTGAACTCTGACACAGACAGCTTTGCGGCCCAACCGACGTTAGCTGGTCTATAGATATGTGCCTGCGTAAATAGGTACTTGTGTATGTCAAGTATGACCAGATGCAGGTATGCATGATATGTGTGTAGTGTACGTGTATGCATGTGTGTATGTATATATGTATGTATGTATGTATGTATAGCATAGGTGCTATACATACACATACAAGCAGCACTGCTCAACCCGGCCATGCAATCTGCATTGCATGTGAGGTATCTGCGGATGCAGGGAACGATGCCGAAATGAAGCAAGGCCATGTCCTCAGTTTTCGTGCTGACAGATGCCCTCTCCAGCGAGCGGCCCTGCTCCAATGATGCACAGGCCTCAGGTGCCAAATTTGACAAATGCCTTCGAAAATCTCAAGATTTTGAGTACCAACCTGTTGATATTCTGATCCAACCTCAAATCTCCGATTGCTCCCGTGACGCGGTTGTGGGACCAGTGGTGTCAAGCTTGCGAACCCTTTAGGCAAAACCGGAACCTCCAGACAGCAACCTTTGAGGTGACGAGGGCGGCGCCCCGGAGGGCCAAGCCGAGGAGGGGCAGTACATGTATGTTCTCGCAATCTGCTGCGAACATGAAACGGCGGAGGTCCTAAGATTTAGTGTTTAGTGCCATGGCACGTAGGGTTTACGCTTGCGACGTCAAGTTGGTCTCACCTCCAGGTGAATGACGAGGACTTGGATGTCTTCGGCGTCGAAAATGCACCTTGCATCGCAAAACTAGGACTTCGAGGTGTAGGACTTCAGGAGTTCAGGGCCTTTGGCTGCGAGGCAGGTCTCTATCATGTGCATGTTGCCTTCTTGAGCCGCTGAAATTGGTGGAAGGTCATGGACATTGGCGACGGTCGCCCGCTTTTCCTCAGCTTCGTGTATGAGGACAGGCTTCGCTTGCGAGTCGTATCAGAGGAAGACCTGACATCTCGGCCGGTGTGAAGACTATGCCTGATCGTTGCAACCCTCGTCTTTCGCCTTGAGCTTGTGATTTGACAAATGTGCCCCAGCCTTGAGTACCCGCTTTCGAAGCACGCTGAGCTCAGTGTGAGAAGCTCAAGCTTCGTTCCCCTCCGAGACTGCCCTCGATTTTGGCTGTGTAAAATTACAGGTCCCGAATCTCGCTTGCGGTCTCCCGAGCAGGACTGGGTCCTCCTGAGCCTTAGATACGAGCTGGCACCTCGGGCAAGCTGCTGTGCTGTCTGCGAAAGCCGTTAGTGTCATTCGAGGGCGCGAACGCATGGTACTTGGATGACTTAGTCCCTGGAACTTGTGTAGCTTCAGTCTGAGATGGTATACAGCTCAAGATCCTGGTACTGTGACGCACTGCAGACCTCCCGAGCCCACATCCGAGGCTCAACCAGAGAAGGAAAGTACTCTCAAGACCCGACGTCTTCGTAGCAAGGTCCACTGAGTCCCAGCGACAGCCTCTCAGGCTGCATCTGTTGGTCCATGCCTTTAAGCATGACGTTGCAGATGAAGACAGGCCTGCGTTCCGGCTCAGGATTCTTGAGGGATCACCGTTGGGGGTTTGAGGATGGCCTAGAGATGATTGGCAAAAGTCCCCGACCGCTTTCATTCTGCCTAATTTAAGTGCTTTTTGTCCCAAGCTCCTACGGCAAGAATAAGTCCAAATCCTCGATAATGCCAATAGCGGGTAAGCGGACGGATCCCCCCCAACACTGGCGTTCTATTGGATCCGTTCCCCCTGACCGTCCCCACGGTAGAAGTGCCGGAAGGAGACTTCTGTATCGGCCGTTTCTTCTTGGGATCCCAACTGCCAGGCCAAGCTTTCACGAGCGTCACCTAGAGTTCTACTTCCACAAGCCGGCAGCCTCAGTGTTCAGAAGGTCAGGTGTTCAGGGGTTGGCAGGATTTCCCAGGACAAGGAGCCTTCAAAAAATCTGGGCCGAAGGCTTGGAGAGTTCTTGAGCTGCAGCCTGGCTTAGAGAATGTATCTCGTTTTCTATATTCGGATCCCCCTTGCAATAGAAGGACTCGTCCTTGTTCGGTGGTTTGGATGTTAATGTCTCGGCCCGACCGCCCTGAGAGCAGGATTTCAATTACAGAGTGAGGCCTGTCAGCAAAAAAGCTGACTTGACCTTGGTTGCTGAGTAGGTTGCATCCAACTTGTTTGGGTTCATTGCTATCCGGCCATAATCACAAGGGTGAGTTGAGGCTGAGGACACCTGTTAGGTATGTCTTGGAGACAGGGTCCTGTGGCTTGGGTGTCCACGGCAAAGAGGCATTCGGGCTTTAGCTCCCCAAGAAGCATCAAGCCCCGAGTTCTTCAGGTACTACAGGAGAAGCCTGCAGCTGAAGATGTTCGGCGTGCAGACGAACGAAGAGCTGATAGCTTTAGTCAAGGACAGTCGGGGCTGTTGCGATACCAGGGTTTACAAGGAAGGCGGGTTCAGGAGGGGAGGCTCTGAGCAAGGCCAGGAGCCTGAGAAGAGATGGCCGGACCAAGGCTCCTCAGGCCAGGCCCCCAGCGAGCTCCACATGCTCCGAAGGCTGCGCATGCTCCGCACCCCGCTCCAAGCACTGAGCACAAGGTGCAGAGCCCAAGAGGAAAGCCGACGATTTCACGATTGCAGGATTCCGTTTCCATCAGCAAGGAGACCCAGCTTCTGGAAGCGACGATGCCCGTGGAGGAGCGCGGGGATGGGGCTTTAGCTCTGCCGGAGCTCGCTCCTTTCTCTTTTCGACTTCGGGCGTCGTTGACTTCCAAGCTCAGGAGCCGCTGGACAAGTTCCTCCGCCTTGCGGAGGAGCACCGGCGGGACAGACAGCGTCGGCGACCCAGCAGAGATCCGGAGTCCGGGGCGCGGGCACTTCCCCTTGTTTCGGTTTCGGCTCTGGGCGGTGCGAAGCCTTTCAAGTCGCAGGTGCCAGGGCTTGGATGTTTTCGTGGCTCGTTTTTACGGCCTCATTGGTTGGGGGTTCCAGGTTGAGAGTAGTTTGGGATTGCAGGGCTATGGGGTTTAGCAGCTTAGCCTTGCTTGTTAAGCATAAGGCTCGGGCGACCTGGTTTGCTGGCAACCCTTGTGTGCTGGCGGCACGGGTGCTAGTTGTGTTGCGTTGTTATACTTCTCATTATTGCGATGGTTACCATCGCAGTGTTTATGGCTCCTACGGGCTACACCTTCAGGCGCAGTGCATTCGGCACTCGGAGAGCTTAAAGAACGAGGCTTTATGTTCTGGGGGTTTAGGTTTGGGGCATGTTTAGGGTTTGCGCTTCTTTGGTCTACACATCCAGTGTTTCGGGTTTAAGTCTTAGATCCAGTGCTGGCTGGGAGTTCATGGCGAACAAGTTGACGTCAGCCTCCGGTCAGAAGCCGATAGGGCAATCCTGCAGAGCACTAACTGCCAGCGGAAGGCTGCATAGATGCCGGCGACGAAACTGCTGTTCTGAAGTTTCAGAGACCTGTCCGGACCTCGGGCAGTTGCATGTTCAACTTCCTGCTGCCCTCATAACCTGTCTGGGAAGGGCGGCAACTCCTCACTTGCAGTCGCCATGCATTCCGACAGACATGGATGCAAGCTACTGCAGGCGTCGCCTTGCTGGATGTTGGGGCCACACTGCCATAGCTGTCCAGAAGTCCCAAAAATCTTAAAAGCCTCGTGAACCAGATGCCGAAACAGCGTAAATCCAGAAGACCTGCTCAATCATCCCAGGCACCACCGCCTCGAACGTTCAGCCGGGCCTGTTTGTGTACGTGGACTTTCCTTAACTTCTTTTTGCATGTTTCAGGATTCGAGATTCTACTGTAGGTCGGTGCTACTCGATTCGCAAACGGTGCTTGTCGGTTTAAAGCCCTGGTTTTCCAGGGTCGCGGTTTACTCTAGACACATACGTCCCAAGTGAGCGCTCTGCGCTTTGTTCTCATCTGCAGTCCTGCAGTCGGGTTGACAAGCTGCGCAGAGCATCAATTTTGCTGACATCTTTTCGTGGCATCCACAAGATGTAATCTTCTTGAGCTCAGTTGTTTTGGGTCTTTTTCTGTTGGACTGCTGTTGATGAGATCCTGCGATGCAGTGGTCTTGAAGATACTCTCTGACGGGTCGGGATCCATGTTCGATGGGAGGGTCTGGTGCTGTGTTGTGGAGAGTTTGTGACACTCCAGCCCCGGGTTCTGGACTCCCGAGCCCAGCACAGCCAGGCCAGAAGCCAGCGATCGAGGCAAAGGGCACGAGAAAGGTGGCAAAAAGGGTGGCAAATACGAGGCTCGCGGCCACGGGCCAAGCGCTTCAGGGCTGAAACGCAGCTGTTGCAGACAGCTCGGGGTTCTCTCTCTTCGAGGGCAGTGCGGACCTGTAGCCTGGGCACTGGTGAGCTTTCAACCTGCCCTTGTACCAAACTTTTTCCACTTTCTTTACGAACAACAGCAGTGGATTTAGCTTGCCAGATTCTTGCTATTGTTGGAATCACACACGGCCAGCTGACTTTTGCAGTTCCAGTGTATCCTGGGCCCAGGCCAGTACCTATGCTTGTGCCGAATGCTAACGTCTACGGATTCTTGTTGCACGATGTCGCAAGCAGGAAGCTCCATAAACTCCTAAACCCTCCTAACCTGGGCTTCCATCTTCTGAGTGACCCTAACAGGGCAACAAGGGCCGCCCCGCGCCGCCGGCGCCGAAGGGTGGCCGCCAGAACTGGGACCGGGACCATGAGGCCGCTGCGAGTCCTTTTGGAGAGGGGTTTGGCGACAGTATACGTCATGGAAGAAAACAACAGACAAAGAAAGTATGAAACCGCGGTAGATATGTGCAAAGTCTGAGTAAACATACAAGTTTGAACAAGCAAGTAAGTAAGTACGTAAGTATGTAAGTAGGTAAATCGATAAGATGCATAAACAAAATATGAGTGATTGAATAAGCACATATATGAACAAATGAACAATGCATAAACATACGTGCATCAATGAACATAGGTATGAATATGTGTATATATATATGTATATATATATATATGTATATATATATATAACATTTATATGTTGTATATGTTTGGTGTTATTTATGTTTGTTCATATTGTGTAAGAGCATTGTTAAGATGTATATCTGTATTTATACCATCATCTGTATTTGTATCTGTTATTGATATCTTCTGTATTTGTACCTAGATGTTGGCGTACGCCACCCTCAACACCTGACGGCTGACGGCCTGAAGGGCAAGTCTGGCTACTCGCGCCCCCCTCCTCCACCGCAGAGCGGCTACGTTCCTCTCGGCTGCACTTGGAAGGTTACTTCACGGGCTTGTTCTTTGGAAGACGAGCACAAAACCGATTCTTGTTCTATTGCCCAAGCAACAGGTAGTCTGCTGTTGACACAGGTGCAGGAGTTCTGGCAGTTGTGGGCCACTGAATCCTTGCAGGAACCCTTGGCAAGATGTTACTGTTACAAGTCTGCTTCCTGCTGGCAGTCAGCCACTTCCACCTCCAGCCATCTCAAGCAAAAGGTTGCCTTTGTTAGAGGAGTCTCAACAACGGGAAGAATTCGGGGGCGAACAAAGGCATGCACCAGGTTGCAGATCCTCAGCAATTTTCGTGGCTCGGGCTTTTCCTGTCGGACCCTGGGCTCTACTCGGCGGAGTCGTTTAGAACTGTTTAGGCACGGGAAAAGCTCTTCCAGTCAGTGATAACTCGCTCGACTCTGGAACAGCCTCCCAGAAACTCAAACCGGAACAGAACCGATAATTCCAACCACTCCAGATGTTGGATGCATCTTCGGGTAGTTCTGAAGCCCGCCCAAGGCTGGAGGAGGACGCAGCGGCTATGGCTCGCAGGGGCCCTGGCTGGAGCACTGCCCCCTCCGGCCCCAGAAGACATGCTCTGGAAACTGAGGACATCAAAGTTTGTGGTTTCAGGGCTTTACTGAAGAACTTGTTTGCAGGGGCACGAAGGGTGCTCCAGCCACCAAGGGAGGGTCTTAGTCACCCCCTCACATCCGGAAGACTCTTATGGCAGAGCCATGTCTACTGAAGTCGCGACTGTGCCAAGGCGCGACGACAACCGATCCGGCGGCCGCCAGGACGGAACAGAAATCTTAGGCTCAAGCAGCTGCTGCAACGGATCATTCGTCGTCACGTTGGGGCTGGAAATCCAGACCATGTAGCCGCCGAGTCAGACGTCAGGCTTTTTCGAGTTTGCCCAGCACCGACAGCCCTAGAATTTCCTGAAGCCTCGCTGAACTCTGGCAACTCCAACTTTGTTCAGTCGGCGACTTCAGTCTAGCTGATGTTGCTGAGCGATTGAACCCAGTAAAGTCCGGCCACAGAAGTTGCGAGTCCTAAGAAGTCACAGGCCCAAGCCGGAAAAGCTGCAGTGGGGACCAAACTGTGAGATTCCTCCACAACCCCTCTAGGTGCTCGATGGTGCATAAGCACCCCATGCGGTCTTCAGATGCCTGCGGCTTCGACAGCCCATTCCGCACCGAGGGCGTATTATTTCGGTCATGTCCTGCCTCTGTCTCCTCCCCACGTCGAATGATTTACAGCAGATGATGCAAATCTACTCACCACGTCCTATAACTTCGCCAGCACGTAGCACCCTCTGTAAATGACGGAAAGGGTAAACCGCCAGGGGGAGACTCGCGCAGCGAGCATCCTCTGTAAATAATAGGATGCGGGGAGCACATTTGCACCATCTGCTGTAAATACACAGGCAGGGAGCGAAGGAACATCAGCCAAGAAAACACTCACCCCTTGCAACGAGATTGCCTTTACCCTTATAAGCCTCACACCACTGGTGCATCACCAGCAGGAGTGGCGAGGCGGCGGCAGCGGCGGTGGTGGTGGGGGAAGCAGTGTCCCAATGGGGACGTGTGCTGTGTGAGGTTTGAGCCTGGTCCGGGCTGATTTGTCATCCCAATTTCAAGATTGCTCGCTGCGAAATCATTGCATGTCATAACGGCTGATGAACCCATATAGGGCCTGGGGCCTAGGGTTTTCTGGGTTTAGAGTCGGCAGTGTGGGGCTTGTTCGCTTGTGTAGAGCAGGCGTTTCAGTCTGTAGACGCGTGGTTCGCTTAGTTTGCTCTTGCCTGATGTGTTCAATGCTCAGCGATGGCTGGAAGTTACCGAAGCGTGTGGTATCACTGTGGGGTTCTTTCATGCTCTTCCGGGTGTTGGAAGGAGCTTCGGTTTGTGCGAGGCGTCGGTAGGCTTGCAGTTCCGGGGGCTCTTCTGGTCGGCGGAAGTCATAGCAAATCCCTTCTGCCGCAGCGTTCCGAGGCCGAGGCGGCAATCCGCCACGGAATTCTTACGGCCCGGGCCTCAGCAAAGCCCGAAAGAGTCCTAAAGTCCTAAACGCCACTAAACGCCACGTGCGACCGAAGTGGAGACAAGCCAGGCCAAGGCGGTGGTGGCTCCAGAGGTTATGGCGGTGCCTCTGTGCATGTTTCTGATTCGATCCTTGACCAAGTTCTAGCATCTTCTTGAACGCCGATCAGACAGAATCTCAGATGTGACCCGACAGTCACGGGCTTGCTAGTGCAACGTCTGAACCTTGCTGTGCCAGGAGGGTATAGTCGAGGTCCGGGATCCCGGATTTGCAGCCTCTGGTGTTGCAGTATAGCTCGCGTTCTTCTTGGAGGGTGCATTTTCGTGTTCCTTTTGCTGTGCTTGTAGCCTCGGCTACACAAGCCTCGCGAATCCAAGTGGGTTTCTTGAGGGTAAAGTCATGTCGTCTCAGCCGTGAGACATGTTGTTGATGCCCGCAACACCGCCAGATCTGGAGTCCACCATGATCCGTAAAATCTAAATTCACCAGTCATTGAAACCCCAGCAGATGCCATCTCAGGCGGTGACAGGGGTGATGACCGTGGGCAAGGGCAGCCTCTCGGCTGCACAAAGATCATTTGTGTTGCATTCCGCAGGCGAGCCATGCCGGGTAGCATTGGGTCCGATTAGGCTTCCGAAAGCTGCACTCCGTCTTGTGTTACCATTCAACTGGATCTTCGCGCCACAGGAAACGGCCCTACACTCCACCACCACCTTCTGCCTATGCTTCAAAGCGGCAGCCTCAGTCCAAATTTCCTTCTGGCGTGGAGCCAATCGAGCCAGACCTTTCGAGCGTTTGTCCAAGAGCTACGAGCCTCATGGTGTAGCGAATCGGGCTTAGAGTTTTCAACATAGGCCGAACAAGCTCCTTCCAAACTGTTTTGGGGAAACTTTCCTGGCATCGGGCGGCCTGATTGCATCATTTGTGGGGCTTGTTTCCCTGGCACAGGCAGCGCTACTGAATGGCATGATGCAAATGTTGCGGAAATCTACACGCAATGACTCGTCAAGCTTATAGATGAACTAAAAGGAAGGTGCGTAACCCACTATGAAGCCTCGGAACGAAGATTCGAAGATTCATCAAATATTCTTTAAATTA